TGTACTGTGTGGACCAGGGACTGACCTGTACTGTGGACCAGGGACCGACCTGTAGTGTGGACCAGGGACTGACTTGTACTGTGTGGACCAGACACTGACCTGTATTGTGTGGACCAGGGACTGACCTGAACTGTGTGGACCAGGGACTGACCTGAACTGTGTGGACCAGGGACTTCCCTGTAGAGTGTGGACTGGGGACTGACCTGCACTCAATGAGCTGTGTGGCATCAGGATCAAACTTGGTCCAGGTCTTGTAAAACATCTGTAGATGCTGGTCACTGAGTGGCTCATGGTCCTCCGGATCTTTGGGGTTTCTGTTGTTGAAGGTCTCCAGGATGACGGCAGTGAACAGGTAGATCACCAGAAGGAAAAAAATGGGGATGTAGGTGGCAAAGAAGACGATGCCCACCACCGGGCTGCCACAGTCTCCTCTGACCTCCGATCCTGGGTGTTCCCGCAACGGGTCGCAGTCCGGAGGCGTGGTCACGATGGGAAACAGCAGACCATCCCACCCAGAAGATGTGGTGACCATCATCAGACTGAGCATGCTGTTACCAAATGTCTCAAAGTTGAACAGATCATTGATCAGCGCAAACTTGTGTACGTAGGCAAAGTTAAACATGCCGATGATGGAGAAGGTGTACGTTGTGAGAAAGAGGAGGAGGCCGATGTTGACAAGGGCAGGAAGCGACGTGACGAAGCCTAGAGTGAGCATTCGGATCCCTTTGGCACAACGAATGAGATGGAAGATGCGAATTATACGAACCACTCGGAACACAAGGATGCCATGCGGTGCGACAAAATACTTCTCGAAGATGTCTGACAAGAAGATACCTGCCAGGAACAAACAGAGATATCTTAAACACCTTCTCAACCAAGCATATGAAGTCAAAGGTTTGGCACAGTGTCAGACTTCTACGTTTAATTTCGCTTTGGATAAAAGCATCTGCAAAAACAAATTGCAGACAGTGAAATTTAATGCAACATGACACTGACATCACCAGATGAGACGATTACACCACACACAACATTCTGACATCACTAGACAAGACAATGATATCACCAGAACATCAGACGGGACAAATATGCCACCACACGAGACGATTACATCACCAGACAAGACAATGACATCACCAGATGAGACGATGACATCTCCTGCTTCTCCTGACTCACCTACGAAGGACAAGATGATGACCACAAAGTCAATGATATTCAAGCAGTTGCGGAAGTAGTGCTGTCTAAGTGCAATGATTTTTATGAAGAGCTCAACGATGAAGATGACGATGCAGATGAAGTTGGCCCAATATAGGACAATGTCTTTGCTGTAGCTCTGGTCATGCGTCTCCACCATCAGAACCACCATGCTCAGGCAGATCACCACCCCCACAGCGATCTCAAAGGACGGTGCAGTCACCACATCAAAGTGCCAAGCCTGATACTTGTTCTGGAGGTAGAGAGGAAGAACGACGTTACAAGATCTGAGCACCCCTTGCATCTAATTGTTTTGGTCACTACCTGGGGCCCACCTACACTGTATGACCAACCCCTATCTATGGTCATAGTCCAGGGGTCAGCAACCTTCAACACTCAGAGATCCATTTGGACCCGTTTCCCACAGAAAAGAAAACACCGGGAGCCACAAAACTCTTCTGACATCTAGAATGAAAATAAAACTGCACATATTGTTTTTACCTTCATGCTATGTATAAAAACTACAGTGTGCTGCATTTATGAAATCAATGAACTGCTGCAGAGAAACTACATTTTATTTCTGCAACAAAAACATTTTGAACTCTGAAAAAAAAAAAAGAAAAAGACACTGGGTTGACGGTTACCTTTAAATAAAAAACTCAATGTCTATTTGAGTCCTCATAAGTTCAGCTTTTTATGAAATAAAAAGCCGAACTTAAATCATCCACCTGCAGCAAAGTAAACCAGCATCTGGTTGTCCTGCAGCTGGACTGCTGACCACCTGTGAGCACTTTGGGACGGAGGAGTTCACGGCAGCACCGCTACTCGCTGAGGACAGGAACGGCACAACGATACAAGTTTTCACATCAGAGCCTTCAGAACACCAGAAAAGGCTCCAGTAACACCAGAAAGAGTCGCTAGATTTGTCGCTAGTCGCTTTTGAAGAAAAAAGTCACAAAGAGGATTTGGAAATTCGCCACATTTAGCCAGAAAGTTACCAAGTTGGCAACGCTGTGCCGGCGGGTGTCGCACATCGGAGGTTGTGACACATATTTTGAGCGACAAAAAAAATTAAACACTTTTTATTCTACTGTTACAAGTTCACCATAATCTTCAAATTTACATTTTAAAAACTAACAAACTATCCATCCATCCATCATTTCTACACCGTAATCCTCACTAGGGTCATGGGGGGCGGAGCCTATCCCAGCTGACTCAGGGTGAAGGCAGGTTCACCTGGACAGGTAACCAGTCTATCACAGGGCTACACTTAGAGACAGACAACCAAGCACACTCACATTCACACCTACGGACAATTTACAATCACCAATTAACCTCAGCATGTTTCTGGACTGTGGGAGGAAGCCGGAGAACCCGGAGAGAACCCACGCTGCACGGGGAGAACATGGAGACTCCACGCAGAAAGATCCTGGGTGTCCTCACCGGGACGCCAACTGGCGACCATCTAGCTGTGAGGCCACGGTTCTAACCACCGAGACACCTGCAGCTAGTGTTGTAGTACTCGAGATCGGTCTCGGTCTCAAGACCGGTCTCGAGACCACTTTTTCAAGATCTCGGTCTTGTCTTGGACTCGACCGCATTTTTACTCGGTATTGTTTTGGTCTCGGCCACAGAGGACTCGGGATTTTACTGCAAGACCAGCCGAGACCACGGCTGCAAGGACCGCACTAAGCTGCCTCCGAGCTGTTTCATTTGTTTAGTAATAGCTTTGTTGTTATTGGATGCAAAACTCCCCGCTTCAAATGTAGCCAATAGTTTAACAGATTTTTAATTTGGATTTTTTTTACGGGCTGTGGCCTGTCATCCCGCCCTGCCCCTCTTCACAGGCACTCCACAACAGGGAAAGGGATAAGGAGTCTGCTCCCTGGGAAAGATGTCAGTAAACTCTGCTGTAATAAAGTTTGGCTTTTCTAATCACAAACAACTTATCTGCAAATCAGCGTCAAAAGGAAAACACAGGGGGACTTCCGGGTGACCGAATGGCGCAGCAGTAGGTTGAACGCGGCTCCGATATATTTTACATTTTAAAACACTCTAACTCTCCGTCAAGCCATAACTTTCGACACAGTGGTTGCTACTCACTCCTGGATAAACTGCACCTCAGCTAAAATGAGTTCTAAAGGCGGTAAAGGCTCAAAAAAGGAAGATTCACCTCCCAGACTCACGCTCGAGGCTATTTCCAAGCTACTTGGAGAGCACCGCAACTCGCTAGCCACCGAGTTTAAAACTTCCTTTAACGCCATGGAGGCCAAGTTTGACCAGGTGCGGGACACTGTTGAGGACCACGGGCAGCGTCTGGCTTCTCTTGAGCTAGCAGCCGACGACGTGAGCCAGCGTGCCGACGAGCTGGAGAAGCTTTGTTCTACACAGCGCGATAGCATTGCTAAGCTTTCCGCTAAAGTGCTTGACCTGGAGAACCGCAGCAGGCGGAACAACCTGCGCATCCTCGGCCTAGCAGAGTCTACCAAAGACGGGCGTCTAATGGAAATTTTTCGCTGGTGCCCTGTGCGAAATGTTTGGTGAAGACACACTCCCGACTCCTCCGGAGCTTGACAGAGCTCACCGCTCCCTCGGCGCGAAGCCGAAGCCGGGTCAGAGACCGCGACCCATCATTATCCGGCTGCATCGATACCATATTAAGGACCTGCTCATCAGGGAAGCTCGGCGGAGAGGAACGCT